AAAAAAAAAAAAAAAAAAAAAAAAAAAAGAAACGCTAATCAGAAACTCAAAAGAATGCAACCGTGTATGCCTCTTCTTCTGTGACCTGGAGGGCCCCCTCCCTGCTTCCAGTCTTCCAGCCTTTGCTTCAAGTTGCCCCGCCTTTTCACACAGAACCAAAGCACTTCTTACATTTGATGTCTCATATCTCCCTAAAATGTATAAAACTAAGCTTTGCCCGACCACCTTGGGGAGATGTCGTGAGGACTTGCTGAGGCTGTCACCGACGCGTCCTCAACCTTGGCAAAGTAAACTTTCTAAATTAACTGAGATATGTCTCGGAGTTTCTGGGTTCACACGTTTTACTCTCAACATTGGAAAGAGACTGCTGTCGCCATGTTTCTGAGATAACGAGGACAAAAAGAGAGAATGATGGGCTGGAGCCCGATTATAAAGGTCCAGCGACAAAAACTAACTTGAGTTCACGGGGGGATTTCCGTGGGGCGCTCCTTTGTTCCCGCAAACCCGGGCGGAGCTCTGGCCTGTGCCGCCTCACCTGGCGGGGCCGGAGCATGCGCAACTGGTTTTTAAGGCCGGCGCCTGTAGCCGCCGCGGCCATTTTGGAACAGGGCAAGGAGAGAAAGCGGCCCAGAAATAGGGGGCGGGGGGCGTCGTCTTGGGCACAATTGCGCAGGGGCAAAGGTCGAGCGGTCCCGCTGCCGCAGTTTTTGAAGACATGATCCAATTCTGATTATGGACTCGCAGCCATCGAACCTTAGTTTCCATCCCCTCTAGTGAAGACTCTAGTGACTTCCCTCGGGCCCGGGCCGAGGAGGCATTCTCGGGCGCGGGAGGTTACGCAGACCCAAGCCCGGCCAGGGGAGGCGACCGATCCGTCGCCGGCGCTGACAGTCCTCATGGCGCCGCCTCTGGCCCCGCTCCCTTCCTGGGACCCAAGCAGGGCCGGGCCCGAGTGCAGGAAGCCTGGGGCTGTGAGGTTCGGGGACGTGGCCGTGTACTTCTCCCGGGAGGAGTGGGGCTGTCTGCGGCCCGCGCAGAGGGCCCTGTACCGGGACGTGATGCGGGAGACCTACAGCCACCTGGGCGCGCTCGGTGAGAGTCCCACCTGCTCGCCTGGGCCCTGCGCCCCCACAAGGCCTGCCGCACCTCAGGGAGCTGCGCGTGGAGTGGGGGGCCCCGCGGCCGGGCAGGCGGCTTCCCCGCAGCGTGGGATTTGCGTTCTTCTCCCCCAGGAGTCGGAGGCAGCAAGCCGGCGCTCATCTCCTGGGTGGAGGAGGAGGCCGAACTGTGGGTTCCGGCTGCCCAGGATCCGGAGGTGGCTAAGCGTCCGACAGAAGCGGACCCAGGTGGAGTATCGGGTGCTCAGTCCCGTGGGGACTTCTCTGTTCCTGACCTATCCTGGTGTCCCCTGCCACCTCCAGCTACCTGCTTAGCAGTTTGGTCTCTGAACTGCCTTCTCAACTGCAGGAGGCTTTGCCCCTGCCTGGCTCCTGGCTGCCCCCTAGAAAAGGGCTGCAATGGGGACTCTGGCCCTGCCATACCTGCCTCTGCGTCCTCACCTCTGGGTGGTCACTAGTCACTACACTCTGGGGGCTTTTTATTTTTTTCTTTTTTGGTGTTTTTGTTTTAGAGACAGGGTCTCTGTTGCCCAGGCTGAGTGCAGTGGCGCCATCATAGCTTGCTGCAGACTTGAACTCCTGGGCTCAAGCAATTGGCTCAAGCAAACCTCCTGCGTGGGCCTCCAGAGTAGCTAAGACTGTAAAGGCAGTCACCACCACACGTGTCTGTTTTTTTTTATTTCTTTTAATTAAAAAATATTTTTTTTAAAGGGGCAGAGGTCTTGCTGTGTTGCACAGGCTGGTCTTGAACTCTCGCAATCCTCCATCTCGGCCTCCCAAAACCCTGGGATTCCAGGCCTCAGCCACTGCGCCCAGCATCTAAGCTCTATTGACTCTGCCTCCACATCACAACCCATCCCCACCGTCTTCCAGCACGCAGGTGCATCCAGCCCGCTCATTTCCTTCCTTCAGTTCTTGCCTCAGCCTTTGCAGATTGTCCAGCCCCACTGAACTTGGCCATGCCTGCCTGATTCTGCCTTTCTTGTTGCTGTTCCTGTTGCCTGGAACATCCCCAGGTGTCTGTTCCTCCTTCCGGATCAGGCCCAGATGTTCATGTCATCTCTGCCCTTCCCCACAGTGATATTTCCCCAGCCGCGAGGCGGAATGGACTGTTTCCTCCCTCCCGGCTCTGTCTGGCTCTTTAGCTGAGGAACAAGTGTCACTCCTTGCTCTCCTGCCTGTACTGGGTCCCAGGGGCAGCCGGGAATCCAGCAGGCCTGTCCCTGTCCACACGGGGTGTGGGATTCAAGGACCAGGATGAGCCGAGGCTGAACTCTCCTCTCCTTATCTCCCAGCAGATTCCGGAAACAAGGAAGAAGAAAGACAAAGGGAAGGGACGGGAGCCCTGGAGAAACCCCTCCCTGTGGCCACAGGGCCTCCTGGGCTGAAGACTCCCCAAGCCCCCTTTGGCAGGTTGGAGCTGCCATCCAAGACGCGTCGCCGGAGTCACCCCCGCTTCTTTGCCCATCCCCCTGTCCCACGAGCGGACCAGCGTCATGGCTGCTACGTGTGCGGGAAGAGCTTCGCCTGGCGCTCCACGCTGGTGGAGCACATCTATAGCCACAGAGGCGAGAAGCCCTTCTACTGCGCGGACTGCGGCAAGGGCTTCAGCCACGCTTCCTCCCTGAGCAAACACCGGGCCATCCATCGTGGGGAGCGGCCCCACCGCTGTCCCGAGTGTGGCCGGGCCTTCCTGCGCCGCACAGCGCTGACTTCGCACCTGCGCATCCACACAGGGGAGAAACCCTACAGCTGCCTGCAGTGTGGCCGCTGCTTCGGCCTGAAGACAGGCATGGCCAAGCACCAGTGGGTCCATCGGCCTGGGGGCGGTGGGCGCAGGGGCCGGCGCCCTGGGGGGCTGTCTGTGACCCTGACCCCTGGCCATGGGGACCTGGACCCGCCTGTGGGCTTCCAGTTATACCCAGAGATATTCCAGGAGTGTGGGTGACCAGGTGTGATCTAGACATTGAGGGAGGCCTGAGATGGGCTCAGGGGCCCGAATCTCTGCAGCAGCCTGCAGGGAGGTCCTAGAATCCCCGTCAAGAGCTGGCTCTGGGGTTCGGACAGTCGCATCTTGGGCTCTCAGCAGACTCCTCTGCCAGCGGCTTGCTCCCAGCTGCCCCGGGCTCTCGAAGGCCCCCTTTGCTGAGGCAGGGCTGAGGTGAGAACCCCCGAGACCTCTATAAAGGGAAGCAAAAGCTGTTTCTCAGCCCAGAGATGCTAACAGGATTGAGGTAGAGAAGAACCTTGTTTTACCCATTGTCTTTTTTTTTTCTTTTTTAATTTTTTGAGATGGAGTTTCCCTCTTGTTGCCCAGGCTGAAGTGCAATGGTGTGATCTCACTGCAACCTCCTCCTGGGTTCAAGCGATTCTCCCTGCCTCAGCCTCCCGAGTAGCTGGGATTACAGGCGCCTGCCACTATGCCCAGGTAATTTTTTTGTATTTTTAGTAGAGACGGGGTTTTACCATGTTGGTCAGGCTGGTCTCAAACTCCTGACCTCAAGTGATCCACCTGCCTCGGCCTCCCAAAGTGTTGTGAATACAGGAGTGAGCCAACTCGCCTGGACTTTTCTTATTCTTTGACCTTCCTAGAACAGAATACCCATAGTTTGTTTATTTTATTTATTTTTTTTGAGACAGAGTCTCGCTCTGTTACCAGGTGCCAGGCTGGAGTGCAGTGGCTCGAGCTCGTCTCATTGCAACCTCCACCTCGCCGGTTTAAGCAATGCTTCTGCCTCAGCCTCCCAAGTAGCTGGGACTACAGGCACGCACCACGACGCCCAGCTATTTTTTTTTTTTTTTTTAGTAGAGACGGGGTTTCACCATGTTGGCCAGGATGGTCTCGATCTCTTGACCTCGTCATCCACCTGCCTCGGCCTCCCAAAGTGCTGGGATTACAGGCGTGAGCCACTGTGCCCGGCTATATATTTTTAAGACAGCATCTTGCTCCGTCACCCAGGCTGGAATGCAGTGGCGTGAACTGGGCTCACTGCAGCCTAGACATGCCGGGCTCAAGGAATCCTCCTGCCCCGGTCTCCCAGATGGCTGGGACTACAGGTGAGCAATACTACGCACAGCTAATTTTTAAATTTTTTGCAGAGATGGGGTTCCCCCTGTGTTGCTCAGGCTGGTCTCAAACCCCTGGGTTCAAGCAATTTGCCCACTTTGGCCTCCCAAAGTGCTGGAATCACAGGCGTGAGCTATCACACTGGCCTCCATTGTCTTTTTACTGCACAAGTCAAAAAAAACCAATGGCCCCATACTGGATCTGGCCTGCAGTTGCTGTATTGATTTGGGCCCAGGCAGTGTTTTTAAGTGATATAAATTAATGGTGAAGATTTAAAAGAATATTTTGCACCAAAATCCAGGTTTCTGGCATCTATTGAAAAATCCAAAGACTTAGCAACTCCACCGAGGCTCCCATAAAATCGCAGTTGTTGGGAGTTGGGCCGGAGCCAGAACTCCCAACTTCCTGTGGCCCAGCCACTCATCCCATCAGCTCCTGACCAAGCAACACTTGCCATTCATCATGGCTTGCTTTTAGTGTTTTTGACGTTTATCTTGAAGTACAGCAAAGAAGAAAGGGAGCTTTTTCTTGAACCCATGTCTCTGTCAAAACAGGCCTTGCATCTTTCCTGTCTTTAGGTATGAGCCATCTTTACTGTCTTTTAAGTATGTGCCATCATGGGTAGAAGGAGCTAGGCCAGGAACATCTGGCGTTAATTTGTAGCCAGCAGCAACCATACCCACCTGTATTGCCAAGCTCTGCATGGAATCCCCCCCATCACCTCACTACTCCATTATTCATCTACCACTAATTCCTCTGTGGGCAGAGTCCAGTCATGGGCAGCTCCTGCCCTGCTTCTGGTCAGGACAACACCTGCCCGAGGGGAGCAAGGACCTGTGACCTCTTTGGCCTGTGCGCCCTGGCCTGTCACCCAGCTCAGCCCTCTCTGGCCTACCCAGGGAGGAAGAAACCCGATTTACCACTTGAAAGGAGGTAGAAGTTTTGGCGAAAAGATGCTGTTCGGGTGCCAAGTGAAGTAATGAACTGATTCATTCCAACCTCTTCTCTAATCCGACCCCACCAAGGTCTGCCCTCTCTGAGCTTTTCTGGGGTGGGTTGACTTGTGTGCCACCTTATCACAGGGGCACATGGGTTTGGAAGAGACACGTTGGCAGTAGGAGCTACCTTTGTACCAGGTTTTTTTTTTTTTTTTTGAGACGGAGTTTCACTCTTGTTACCCAGGCTAGAGTGCAATGGCGCGATCTCGGCTCACTGCAACCTCCGCCTCCTGGGTTCAGGCAATTCTCCTGCCTCAACCTCCTGAGTCACTGGGATTACAGGCACGCGCCACCATGCCCAGCTAATGTTTTGTATTTTTAGTAGAGACGGGGTTTCACCATGTTGACCAGGATGGTCTCGATCTCTTGACCTCATGATCCACCCGCCTCGGCCTCCCAAAGTGCTGGGATTACAGGCTTGAGCCACCGCGCCTGGCTGTACCAGGTTTTAATTCCCAGTGTACATCCCAGTCCCCTCCCCTAACCCTCAGCACAGCCCAGGGAAAGCTCAGCTTGCAACACCTGTTCTCAGCCCAGACTGACAGCCAGATCTTGGCCCTGAGTTTGCCAATTAAAGGTGCCATGATTACTACCTCGAGGTCTCTGAGTGCTTTGAAGGTTGCAAAGCTTTTTTAGAGCCCAGAAGCCAGATCTGACCCCTCTGTTCCCTACTCTCATGACCCAACTTTCCACCATTTCGTCAATTTTTTTAGTGTCGTGAAAGCTTTAAGCCTCAGCCCACCCCATTCTCATCTCCTCAGTTCGTAGCATAGATATTTCCACCTAGAGGTAGGGCCTGGCTGAGTATCTTTTAAAAATGTAGCTACTCCCACCAGGCATGGTGGCTCACGCCTGCAGTCCCAGCACTTCAGGAGGCCAAGGCAAGTCAATCACCTGAGGTCGGGAGTTCAAGACCAGCCTGACCAATATGGTGAAACTCCGTCTCTACTAAAATTACAAAAATTAGCCGGGTGTGGTGGCATGTGCTTGTAGTCCCAGCTACTTGGGAGGCTGAGGCAGGAGAATCACTTGGACTTGAGAGGGGAAGGTTGCAATGAGCCGAGATTGCACCACTGCACTGCAGCCTGGGTGAGAGTGAGACTTTGTCTCAAAAAAAAAAAAAAAAAAAGCTGCTCCCTGGGCTCTGTTCCTCATCTATTAAATCAGAATCTCTAGGATGGAATTTTATGCCTGTGAAAGTTTGAGAGAACCACTGCTGGGAACAAAACATTATTTTCTAACTGCTTTTAATGTTGCAAGAGTAGTGGTTGGTCCCAGGGCATGCACAAAGTCCTCCATTTCTCTGTTCTTCTCAAAGGAAGAACAGCGGGCACATCGGGTGTGAAGAGCCACCTTGGCAGTAGGAGCTACCTTTGTAACAGGTTTTAATTACCAGTGTACATCCCAGTCCCCTCCCCTAACCCTCAGCACACCCTGGGGAAAGCCCAGCTTGCAACATCAGTTCTCAGCCCAGACTGACAAGATCTCTGGCAGATCTTGGACCTGAATTTGCCAATTAAAGGTGCCATGATTACTACCTAGAAGTCTCTTGAGCATGGAGAGGTCTCCATTTCTCTGTTCTTCAACCTGTGGCATATCTGCTCTCTTCCTGGGTACCTATGATCATGCTTAATATACTGGAGCATCTCGTCTAGCATTGGATGGAAGGCCTTTAAGAGGGCTGGTCCTTTGCATGCAGGAAGGGAGCAGTGCATATGGAAGCTCCTCTCATTGAGAATGTGATGGCTCTCTCTAGCCTGCAGCATTGACCACATTGGCTGGACCATAAGCCTTGGTTGCACACTGAATGGCTCTGCCCTAGTGTTGTGCATGCCAGGAGATAATGCTGTGGACACAGTGACCACCTAACTCAGGACATGCGCAGGCCTCATCCTCAGGGATGCAGAGGTAGGACAAGGCCAGTGGACTCCCAAGTTTCTCCTGCCTTGGATTAGTTGGTGTTGGGTCAAGGTGCAGCCTTATCAGAGGCTTTCCTGGGCTTGGAGCCTCTCACTGCTGTGGTTGTGTGTTGGGTGGAGGCTGGCTTCCTTGTGAAGTCCCTGTGTGTAGATGGCACTCTGGTGCTGGAAAAGGCTGGATGGAAGTGGGCCACTCTTACTCCAGGTGCCAGTGAGGGTGAATTTGCACGTGGAGATGCTGGTGCTGGAGCAGCTTGAAGTCTTGGCTCAACTTCTGCTACACCTGGACTTGTGGCCCATAATAAGAGTGCAGGCAGTGGACAGTGTCAGAGCTGTGGCTGGAGGCCTTGCCACCCATTTTCAGGGTATGGCTGCTCTCCTGCATGAATTTTGGTGGATCAACAAGTTGGATGTCAGAGAAAAGTGTCTTGTGAAGGAGACTTGTTTCCTACCTGTGTGAGTGCTTTCGGGATGACCTGAGGGTACGCCATATCCAGCTCTTCTCAAAACTGGTCCTTTTGTAGGCTGTTCTGCCTGTTTGGGCGCTAGTGCTGGACCATTATTAGCAAAGGTTTTAGGACAAACAGACATTGGGATGGGAGAGAGCTATGGAGCTGGAAGCTGTTCCTCCGGAGGGCAGAAAGTTCTCTACTGACCCACTTCATTTGTGGGATGAGCTCTTGTGATTTTATTTGTACCCCTTTATTTCTTTTTTCTTTTCTTTCTTTTTTTTTTTTTTGAGACGAAGTATTGCACTTGTTGCGCAGGCTGGAGTGTAATGGTGCTCTTGGCTCACCACAACCTCCGCCTCCCAGGTTCAAGTGATTCTCCTGCTTCACGAGTAGCTGATATTACAGACATATGCCACCACACCTGGCTAATTTTTGTATTTTTAGTAGAGATGGGGTTTCTCCATGTTGGTCAGGCTGGTCTCGAACTCCTGACCTCAGGTGATCCACTCGCCTTGGCCTTCCAAAGTGCTGGGATTACAGGCATGAGCCACCGCGCCCCGCTGCTCTCCACTTTTTACCACTTGGCCTTCTCCAAGTTCTTGTTCTCATCCCTTTTCAAGAGAATAGAAGAGGCCATCCTTCCTCCCAGGCTCTTCCTTTCGTTTGTCTGGGTAGGCGACAGAAAAACACAATCTGTGGCTCCTGCATCACACAGGGGCATCAGGCTCATTAACTGTCAAGAACGCTGCCCAACTTGTTTCAGCACGAAGGGTAGCCAAAAGACAAGAACTGGATGATATTAAGTTGTCTGTCCAGGCTCACTTTCTCAATTCAAAGATGCACCCGAGGCAGTGTTTCTCAGGTTCTCTTCCTCGGCAAGCCTCCATTCGAGTCAGACAAGACTGGAGCGTTGTTAGATGCCTGGAAGACCAGATGGTTCTCTCTGTCCATTTCTCCTCTGTATCACCATCACCTGGAAGGAATCCTGCCTCCCTGTGAGGAAATCCGGGAACTAGGGACTAAGACTGCCAAGGATTGAGTTAAACTCAGGCGAAGGTGGAGGCGAGAGACAAGGGGTGTGGGGCAGACAAGGAGGAAGGGTGTCTATCCTCTTATCTCCTGGTTTTCATAAAACATAATGGAGGGTAAGTGGGGGCGGGAAAAGTTTTGAAGGGACAGGTCCGGCTGGAGGGGAGACGCCTGAGGCACCACTCTCTCACTACCTCCTGCAGGCTCTTCTGGCGGACAGGGAAGGCGGACTCGACCGGAGCGACCCCGGCCAATCAGGAAGGCGCCTGGCGTTCCCTGGCGACCATTAGCGCCCCGCCGTCCGCTGGGTTGGAGGAGGCGGGGCGGCGAGAGCAGGAGCCCCATCGGCCAACCGCCGGGCTTCCTGGAGCGGAGAAGCGGTGCCTCTGGGAACCGGGGCGGGACTGTCTCCTTGGCAACGATCCTAGCCCTCCAGGAGGGAGGAGGGGGATCGGGAGAGCAGAGCGGGGCGGGGGCCGGAGGAACACGAGTGGGCGTGCAGGTGGTGGGGAGCGGAGTTCCAGGAGGGGGTCCCAGGCCCAGGGACTCGCGAGGCCAAGGGGAGTCCATCTCTGTTCCCGAGGCGCGCCCGGAGCTGACCCGGAGGCCCGGTCTGGGAGGGAGCTAGACACCGCCCCCACTGGCGCCGGGAAGCGTCGCTCCTTCTCGCTGACCTTGGTCTCGCTTGTCGCCTCGCCCTTGGCCACACGCACCGACGACGCGGGGCCCGGGAGATGGACAGACGGGCCTCTGGAGGGACAGAGACCTAGAACATAGGCACACACACTGCCCCGGCAGCCCCGCGGGCTCCCGGGCGCCGGGTCCTCGCCCACCCCCAGGCCGGGGCCCTCTCGCCCGGGGTTAATGCCAACGAGTTTCCACCTCCAGCGGCTCCTAGAGAGGCCGCGGAGCGAGCCGGCTGGGGGACCTGGCCGCGGACGGACACTTCCTGTGCGGGGGTGGGGGGCCGGGCGGCCGTTGGACAGCGCTGCCCAGCCGGAGGCCGGGGGCCAGACGGCGGGGGCCCGGGCGGGAGCGGGGTCTGGGGGTGGCGGGGCGGGTAGCGAAGCCTCTCATCCCAGAGGCCGCGACGCCCGGGGGCTGGTGAGGGCCACCGGGAGGCCGAGACCTTGGGAGGGGGCGGGGCCGCGGACAGGGGAGGGGCCCGGCGCACGGGAGAGGCCCGGGGTCAAGACGTCCGGCCTCGGGGGCCCCGGCTGGACCGCCGCGTCCCTTGGGCAGTCCTGAGCTGGCGAGCGGCGGGCGGGGGCCCGAGGCTCAGGGAACCCAGGCCGGGTCGCAGGATCGGCCACCATCGCCGCCGCCGCCGCACTGGGAGCCCGCGGGGATGGAGCGGGAGGCGTCGCCGTGGGGCCTCGAGCCCCAGGATGTTCAGAGTTCTGACGAAATGAGGAGCCCCGAAGGGTCTCTCAGAGGTGAGGAGGGAGCGCCCATCTGAGGAGTGGACCTGCGTGCAGGAGAAGGGGCTGTGGCTCCATGGAGGGAGCGAGGGCACGGGGCTAGAACACCTGGGACTCGGAGGTGGGGGCGCTGGGGACTGGGGTGTCTGGGTCAGCTGAGGGGGGGCAAGGGAATTTCAGCACCTGTCTAGGGGCCAGCGACGCTGCTTGTGAGGGGGGAGGTGTGTGGCTGCTAATGGACCAAATGACCTTTCAGGTCCCACACCATCTGGATTTTCTGTAATTCTTTGATCCTGCAGGCAACATGAGTGAGAATGAAGAGGAAATTTCTCAGCAAGAAGGCACTGGGGACTATGAAGTCGAAGAGATACCTTTTGGACTTGAACCCCAAAGCCCTCGGTTTGAGCCACAAAGCCCAGAGTTTGAACCCCAAAGCCCCAGATTTGAGCCTGAAAGCCCGGGTTTTGAGTCCCGAAGCCCTGCGCTTGTGCCCCCAAGCCCTGAGTTTGCACCCAGAAGCCCTGAATCAGACTCTCAGAGCCCTGAGTTTGAATCCCAGAGCCCTAGGTATGAACCCCAAAGCCCTGGCTATGAACCCAAGAGCCCGGGCTATGAACCCCGGAGCCCTGGCTATGAACCTCGGAGCCCTGGCTATGAATCTGAGAGCTCTAGATATGAACCCCAGAACCCTGAGTTCAAAACCCAAACCCCAGAATTTGAAGCTCAAAGTTCCAAATTCCAGGAAGGTGAAGAGGTGCTTCTGAATCCTGAGGA